TTTTTTGCTCCCTGGACACAGCAGGGTATGCTCTTCCCTCTGCACTTCTCTTTGCAGCAGTAGGATCTGACTGCTCGGTGGGGCTGGTGCTGTGCTGGGCCCCATGTTGGGGTGAGAGCCTTGTGTGACAGTATGCAGAGAGCGAGTCCTGCTGACTGTGTGAAAATCCTTATGGGATTTTCAGATGAGACTTTGCAGTACATGCAGCTTGAGGTTTGGGTCTTGCATAAGAGTGGCAAAAAGACAAGTTGGGAGGAAAATAACTGCTCTTTTTAACAGATGAAACCATGGCCTCACTTTTGCAATGGGGATTCTTTTTTTTTTTTCTTTTTAAACACACTAAACTGTTTGTAAGACAGAACAGAGCTTGGCTCTCTTAACATGCGCACTGAGTCCCTGGTCACTGAAGCGTGGAAAAGAAACTGCTCATCTCCTGTCTGGGAGTGTGATGTCTTGGCTATGGAGGCTCTGGTAGCCAACAAACTAAATGTAAAGATATATGAATATATGACGTATATCATATATGTTCAAAGCCAGGTTGGACAGGGCTTTGAGCAACCTGATCTAGTGGGAGATGTCCCTGCCCCACAGCAGGGGTTGGAACTTTAAGGTGCCTTCCGACCTAAACCATTCTATGATTCTATGAAGGGTGTAATTCTGAATTTTGTCCCCAGCCATATTTGCATTTTGAAAAATGATTTATTCAAGGAATATTGTGATGCTGAGATTATTTGAGTGCAAGCTCAAATGAGCTTGCAACTGCCTGAAAGAATAATGTGAGAAACGTTGGGCCCAGTTCCAGTGTTTTCAGTTAAGATCCACCCCAGCAGTGAGGTCAGGAGTGGATATGCAGAAGCACTGACAGGTACTGCATGGGCAGAACCCCAGAAAACAAGTGGCAAGGAGAAGTTCCCAGCCTCCATTACAGCAGCGTGTGTCTGCCCTGCAGAGGGGCAAGGTGCAGAGGCATTTAAACCCTCCTCCGAATAGGTATGGATCACTACAGCTTCTGCAGCTCTGCTGCTTCCAGCCTTATAGAGGATGTGCCTAGCTGGACACAGCAGCTGGCCCCACTGCTTTCTGCCTGCTCCAGGAGACCATCCCTTGGCTGCTGTTGAACCAAAAGCATAACTACAGGCACAGCATGATTTTATTTGGAGGTTTATGCCATGTTTCCCAGCACTGTGTTTCTCAGCATTGTGCAGGTTGGAGCTGAATGTGTTTTTCTGTGCATCAGCAGTTAAGCTTTAGATCATGCTGCAAATACACAATTGCCATACATGGGAAGGAGGAAATAATGATTTATTGTTTGAAACAGCAGTTAAAAACTCTATGCTCAGGAAAAAAAAGGGAAAAACCAAACCAGTAGGAAATATTGCAGTGATAAAGAATCATGTGTAAACACAGGTGAAGCTATGTCTTGGCACAGATGATGTGTGTTTAAAATGAAATTTTAAGCAAAGTGAAGTACCAGTGGCCCCAGTGCACTGTAAGACTGGGAAACAAACTGCCTGCCCTAGGATGCAAATGCCAGAGCTCACAAGGGTCCAAAAATTCTTTTAAAAACCCATTTAAATGAAAAATGTTTCCAGGCTACTCTACATCTAGCTGGAGGAGCATCCGAGGAAAGGGTGCAACAGGAAAGAGAGAGCTGCGTGCCCTGCCTGGGGCCAGGCTCCTGGGCTGGGCACCCCCCAGCCTTTCCTAAGCAAGCGTGGCGGGCAGCTGCCTGCCCCTCTGTGTGCTCCCGGGGCAGCGTCCTCCCATACCCACCGGATCCTGCTCACACCATTCCACTTTGAAAAAATACACGGGTAATTTAAAACCAGTTATTGGTTCTGAAAAGTGAGAAAGCTGCTTACCAGCTCTCCTAGCTGCTGCCTGCAATGACGATAGTATTTCTGTACTTTGAAATCACCTGGGGATGCAAACAACATCTCTATTGATCTTTCTGCTGCCAGTGGCTTATGCACAGGGAAGGGATGACTTGACCTAAGTGCTCTTGTGGTCTTCTGCATGTGTGTCACGCACTGGCCGGTCCTATGGACCAGTATTTTGGTAGGAGCCAGGCGGCCAGAACTGTCAGTGCAAGGAACAGTGGCCTTAAAGTAATGATGGTGGTGCAGTACTCGTCACATGCAGGTCTGTCCCAGTCTGGATGCCACCTGGAATCATCTGTGAACAAAACAATTTATTTATTTTCAAGTATAACTGCACCAAGGGCAACAAATGGAAGCAGTAATTCTGGTGGTACTTACTAATGACTTTGTCACGCTCTGCATTTTCTGGAAAAAGGAAAGAAGTGAATGTCAACAGACTTATACATTATAAACAAATTGAGTCTAAACAAAAGAGGATAAAGCATGAGCATCATGATGGGCTCACAAATTCAGCTATGGGAGCTAGGTTTATTTCCAGAAAGAAGCAAAACCCCTCCAACTTTCAGAGAGCACTCCAATCACTCGGGGCTTTTCTGAGGAGTGTTTGATTACACCGTGTTGAACTTTCCCCTTGTCAGTGGCTCGTTCACCCCTGGTACACATCACAAGATCACTGTGGGTTTTGCCCAGCACCTTGTGTTTAAGATCCTCAGCCTGTAGCTAACACTGAACAGTCCCATGCATCAGGGACTCCCTCTCGTTCCTGAGATGCTGGTATTTTAACGTCACCTTCCCACTCCATTAGTTCACCCGGGGTCAAGTGCTAAGGAAAAGTGTGACCATATTCTCAGCTTCCCCCTGGCAGATGTCCACTTCACAGTGCCTTGTCCTTAGGGTAAGTGCAGAAGGTCTCCCCTCTGCCTGACTCCATCCGGCCATGGCAAAGCCAAGGGCAGGAGAATCAGGTGGGCTGCCAGGGGCTCAGGCTGAGCGTCATGTCCCTGTGAAGGGCTCTTGCATGTCAGCCTGGCTCTCTCCCAGTGCTTAGGGGAAAGCAGATGGCTTGGCTGATATTCACTGGAACGAGCAGCCTTGGGAGTGCTGTGGCAGCACTCCCCTCCCACAGAGGCATGGCAGGGGCAAGGCTTGCTTGGACCTGCACGGGCTCAAGCTGCAGTTGACACACCAGGTAATAACCTGGAGCCCCTGTGAGGGGATGTGTAGCCCCTTCTGCACTTCACATTTCTGGTAAAGATAACTTCTGGCAGGGGTAATAACACTTAGAACTGCAGCCACTGCATCTCCTGTATCATACTTTCCAGCACCTGAAGAGCATATCCCATCCCATTGCTTCACAGGGTAGAAAACAGGCTCCTACCCTCCTCCCCTCTCTTTGTGCATCACTGCTCACTTGGCTTCTGACTGTAGTTTTTCAGACTATATTTAGGAACAGGAGAGCTCTGCGCCTGCCTCCTGCTGTTATCTTTTGTGTCCTCTTTCACTTTCTACATGTGTTTGGGAAGGAAGGCTGGTTGTTTTCTACTTACGACAGAGCTGGCTGGCACACTGCTCGCCGTCACAGTCACTGCATGCTGCTCCCATCTTGTACGGGGGCCCTGGGTAATTCCCACTGCAAAGGAAAGTAACACTGCTCTCAAACTGTCCAGGCTCTTGGCTTGATATTATCTGCCCACCTCTGATACTGCACCAAACATAGCTCAGTGCTTCTGCTTCGCTTGGAGCATGGCCAAAGCGAGATTTACAACATGCCCCAAACTGCCCATAAACACACTGTGAGGGATTTTATATGCATGAGATCTTAGCAGTGCTAAACTTTGTGGTAAAACCTCATTACTTTCAGCAAGGTGAGTTTTTCATTGCTTGGTCTAAGCAGAGGAATATCCTTTGGATTATATTCACTTTAGGAATTAAAATTGTGTGTGCATCTTGCTTTGGCCCTTGGCAGAGTTGAAAACAGTTAAAGATTAGATAAACAAAGAACTTAGGTTGCTGCTTCTCAAAAGCAACAGCTGGAGAGGCTGTCCTGGGTGATCAGTGGCTTTTGGCTCGTGAACCAGCAGAGGCAATGGTCTCTCAGCCTGTTTGGGTGTGGAGCTTCTGGGGAGAGCAGTTTTGTAGCTCAGGCACAGCAGCAGCTGTGTCATTTCAAGGTGTTTCATCAAGGGTACATGCTCTTAAGGATGAAGCATGGACAACAGGAATGCCAAACTTTCTCGAGTTCATTGGCTGGCGTGGCCTTGGCTCAACACGGTATGCATGTATAGCTTTGAAAGCTGTATGTAGGCAGTGATGGCATTAATTAGCTGGAGGAGGGTAGAAACCCGTCCATCCTATGCAACAAATATCCTGTTGACAATGCATAAACCCAGGTAAACTGCCTTGAGGATCCCCAGCCTCACAAACAGCTCATAGCCCCAAACTCTGCTGCTAAAGCTAAGACTGCAGCCACGACCATTTCACACTTTAATATTTATCCGAACTGTTGACCTAGAGGCTTAATTCTGCAGGCACATGTGTAAATATTTTCAGACTTTGGGCTTGCACCTTCACAACTATCTGGGGCTGTCTTGGCACTCAGAAGCAAGGGATTAGTTTTCAAATGATCACTTTCCTATTTTCATTTCGGTATCTTAGATGTTACCCTTTCTGCCAGTGCCACTGCTTTTTGGCTACAATACATAGCCCTCATCTAAGCTTGTTGGACATAGATGTACCTCCATCTCTATTTTGGGGACAGTTTTGAGGGAGGGAAGGGTCAGGACTCTAAACCTTGTGAAATATTTGTAATGAGAAACCTTACGCTGGCCCATAGTTGCAGATGAAGTGTGCTGCGTTGGTTATGTAGGAGTACGCCACGGTGGGACAGAAATAGACAGCACAGCCAACCTTGTAGCTTGTAGCCCAAACAATCTGCAAAGACAGATGGGGACAGGGGTGACAAAGGCTTTGCTTCAGCATCTGAAGACTTATGGAGAAGACCTGCCCTTCTCTGTTTTGTGAAAACAACTTGGCTGAGGAGCACTCCTTGGGCAGGCTTGGGGAAAGCAGCACTGATGGATCTCGAGATAATAGTTTATTCTGAAAAACATCTGATTGTTTTGCACAATTCACCAGGTGTTTATTAAAATGGCTGAAAGAAAGTACAATTGTCTGTAACAGGTAGTTTTTCTCTTGCAAAGCAGAAAGTGGCATTTGCGTCCTTTGCTCCATGGCAATCCATTAGCTTTGCTACAGCTCCTGCAAGGGCTGTTTGCTCCCATACTAAATCCAGAGGGGACATTGCCGGAAAGCACTGATGTCATGGGAGGAGCAGGGAGAAGGCGCACATCCAAGCTGTGGTCCTGCCTTTTAGCATCATGGCCACGACTAAAATAGTGATAGAGGCAAGGACTTTACATCATCTAATGATGCTCTGTCTACTACAAGCCATTTGGTTTGACCCAGCATCCTATATCCAGTTCAAAGATTACAGTGCAGCTGTAATAGACAGCTGAGTTCCCGAGGACAGTAAAGGACCAAATCACAGGACCCTCCCTGTCCTGGGTGGCCACTGGCTGAGGCACACACTGGGTATGTGGTTAAGGTAGCTGCAGTAATTGTATCCGGAGGAAACTCCTCCACAGCTGGGAAGGAGGCAGAGGAATGAGGGGTTCCCCAAAGGTGCAGACCCAAGGATGCCTCCCAGAGCTGGGCAGACACACAGCTTCTAGCTACAGCCACTGTGACTGCTGACTCCAAGTGATAACAATCTTATTTTCTCATTCTCCCTCATGCAGCCATCTGGGCTGCTCCTTTACAGACAATGTGGTAAACAGCACTGCGTCTTAGTGCCAGGGAATGTGTGTTTCACCATGGTTTCCAGATGCTGACTCTTTCCATGTCCTTATGAGCAAGGTTAAAAAGCAATCTGCTGTCACCTCTCATGGCTCCTGCATCTTCTCTGCAAGCAAGAACCTGCATGTGTCATTCAGACACCCCACCAGCATCAGCTTATCTCTTTGAGTCCTAAGTGCATATGTGTATCTCCACAGGAAATATTAAATAGCTTCAGCTCAGAATCTGATCCCTAGAGACACTGTTGCAAGCTGTCCTTCTCTCCCATAGCCATGGTTATGTTCTTTGGGAACTGTGGTTGGGAAAAATGCATGTGTGATGCTTGCAGAGCTGCAGACACCTCTTGACATGTGGGTATTTCCCCAGCCCTTGACTTGGCTTTGGAGAGCTGGCACTTTGTCCCACCACACACTGCATCCCACAGCCATTGCCATTGCCTGGTTTTTGGCTAAATCTGTCTGTTTGACAGCTGTCCTGTTTTCTTTCTGAAAACAAAATACAACTGGCATATTTGAAAAAAAAAATGCAGTGGCTCTTTTCCTCCCTAAAATGGGGACATGAGAACATCTTGTGCACACAAACAGAAGATAAGACTACAACAGCTGGAAACCAATTAATTGAATTTTCAGCAGAAATCTGGAGTTCCTGTGTCAGAATGGCATCACCGGTTCATGGTTTAGATGGAGAGATGCAACACTTACCTGCGTATAGTGGCCGCATACACTTCTGCAGTTATTGGTGGAATAATCATAGGCGCTGACCTCGTCGTACCAAGAGGTGATGGCTCTTTGCACAGTGAACATCGAAAGTGAGCCTGTCCAGAGGTTTTCTCCAACAGGGGTGAATTTGGGGTGAGCTTGCCCTGGCTCTTTGAGGTACGTATTATGTTTAAACAGGCATTTCTTTGCCCAAGCTTTCGCGGTCTTTGCCAAATCTGGATCCCAAGTCTGCAAGATAAAGACAACTAAAAATCACTTTGGTATCTTAGCAATGCAGTAATTCAGAGCAACTTTCTGGAAAAGCTGGGTCTCAGTAGCGTGTATGCTTCATGTTCATTTGTCTTTTGCTTCTGCTGAGACTTACAGAGCTACATTGTAAATTGGCTTTTAGGTTCATTTCTGATTTGAACCTAGTCACTCATTAAACTTGAGGAAGTTTTTTTCTCGGCTGGCTGGTTTGCTGGACACCAAGAGCTGTACATCAGTCAGATACAGAGTTTGGGGCACAACGTGCATTTCCAGGCTGTGCTGGCCATGAGAGAACGGTAATGTAATATAAACAGTGAATTTACGGTAAATCTGGAAACTAGGGGAGTTATGCTTACTATACCAATCAAATTGAGTCTTTGGCAGCCTCATGCATTAAGGCCACTGCTTGCAGGTTGGTTCACAAGCACGCTGGGATTTTTGGGACAGTTTAAACTCAAACCCTCTGTTTGCATCTTTGTGTTTGGCGGCTTCAAATGTTAGTGCTGAATTCGTATCTGTGGGATCAGTCATTCACAGGCTATTCAATCCTACAGAAAGTGGTTATTTAAGCAAATGAGTTATGTAAATGTCTTTTGTTTGCACTGGAAGTGGTGTCTGTTTTTGCTGGATCTTCTTGCGCACACAACTTGATTGAGCAAACACAGTATTGTACTTCCAGGAAAATGCAGCACCATGAGGCCATGCATGTAGTTCTAGCTACACTCTCTGTCATGTAAATTAAGTTGTTCAACACTGTTAAACTATTTTGGATTGGACTTTAAAAAAATAATATTTTTTAATTTGTCCTTTTCTATCTGGATTAAAATGTCTCGGTTGCTTCTACAAACAAGAGGATCACTAGAAAAATCGTATTGAACGGATCAGTAACGGTGACTAAGGAAAAGGCGGTTGTTAGATTTTATGGCTATGTCTTACATAATATAGCTTTATTTGTTACACAGATAAGTCTGAAACAGTTTGTATATTGTTTCTGCTACCAATAAGTAATTAAAAATTGCAAGATCATACCAAAATACAACTACAGAGGTTTGAAATTATTTTGAAACCTATGTTTTCTATTTTTTCCTATGGCTACCAGTTGGGGCAGGAGGTAATTTCTCACAAAATTAACACATAAATAATCTGCCTAGGAACTCAGTGTATCAAATATTAAAGGTAAACTTGGAGCACGGGGTCTTATTTCAAGTTGTGATTTCCTTAAATGACAACTTTTTAGGACAATGAACAAAATCTGGCGTTATACAGAAGTTATCTTCCAGTCCTAGCATTGCTGCAAGTGAAGACAGACACTGCAGTTTACATCTTGGCAAGGCTCTGAGGTCTCAAGGAGAAGACCATGATGAAAGATGTATGACAGTGGTGGATTCGCTTTAATGCTTCACGGTCTTGTTTTTGACATTCTTCTTTTTAAGAGTCCACACATCTCTATTCTCCTTCATCCTAATATTAACAGTAAGTCTAAAGTTCTGTAAAGTTATACATAATAATAAGTTAAAAAGTTAATTAAGAAGTTTAAATGTACTTTCCTTTTTTTTGTGTGTGTGCTTAAACTGGCTGACAGTTGAAAAAGCAATGTGCAGAAACTGATAGTTCAGAATGATCTTAGTTTAACTATAGTTATACTTCTTATTTGCTTATGAAACTGCATTTATGCAAAAAGATTGAACTAAACTGCATGGGAAAAATGCACAGGGAGGTTTGCATATCGATATAATTGCTGTTTGAGTAAATACCAATTACAGGGTTTTTTTTAAACTATTAACTATTAACTATTTCTCAGTTTTGGTTTTATAACTCAGATGAGTTTCTTGTTGATCTAGAGAAGGAAAATTGAACATATGATAAGTGAAAAGTGATGCGAGGCAGCAGTAAGTCAAGGAGACTGCTGAGAAGCCGTGAGGAAACTGATGAGACTCTTTCTGCTGATTTGGGAGAGCCTTGGAATAGACCTAAGCAATGGGTGAACAGGAAAGGAGTCATATTTGTCAGGTAAAAAATGTTAAATTGGGATTCTCATTTTATCATAAATGTTTTATAAATATAGATGGTTGCGCTTTGTTACTTGCAGTTAAAGGGGTTTCTGTTTGTATTTTTTTAACGTGTTTTGCAAAAGGTTGAAATGTCCTGAGCTCATAGTCTTCATTTTTACCTATCTAGGTAAAAATAGGACAGTTATCTACAGCCAATAGGTTCCCTGCAAAATAAAGAAGTCTTTTCTTCTTTTCCTCATTTTTGACGTGGTAAAGGCCATTAAAAATGAAGATCTATGTTGTTTTCAATTCCAATGCTTTTACTTTCGTAATAGATTTTATCATGTATTGTACTGCTTTCTCCACATTAAATTCTTCCTGGGAGAGGTCATACTTAAGATTAGGAGTTTTGCAGTGTTTTAAAAGACACTTACCATGATTTAGTTCTTGTTTAATTTGTAATAATCTTTAAATAGTTTGTTTCTTAAGCCATTTTTTTCAGTTTTCAGTGCTTTAATGTTTCAAAAGGAAAAATTAGGCACAATTTTAAAAGATGAATACTACTCTTTTAATACATCATAGCAGGATTTTCTTAGTGTAGGGCCAGTAGAACAATCTAGAAAACAGAGTCTGGAAGTTCAGGATGTCTGGCTGAAGTAAAAGACACATGTAGAAGAGAAACTAAATTGTTTCCTGTCAGGCTTGCAACTTGAGCTTGCTCGCTGCTAACTTAACCCTCCCTCATGGGCACTTCTGGTTTAGTGTTTGACAACGTGAAATGCAAAATGAGTTGGGGTTTTTTTGAACTTCAGTTGGGGTGTTGCTACTTATGGATGTGGTTATGTCCTCTTCTGGTGGTAACTATGTGAGACAGTAAGAATGAGGAGCAAAAGGAAAGAGATCAGAATTTGGACAATGGCTATGGTCCATCTGAGAGATCTGTGGAGATTATCCCAGGAAGAAACAGTCTATCACAAGTATTACCCAGTCAAAGCACAAAAGGGGACAGATGCTGCCAGAGATGGCTCCCACGCTGCTGGAACTGAACATCTCACAGATCAGAGAAGTGTGGCACAAAACTCAGCCACAAGCCCAGCTTTGTGTACACATTTACAGCTTCCTCCTTGCTGGGTTTTCGGCGTGCCACCCAGCAGGGAAACAAGTGTCACGAGCCATCTGAAATGAGAGGTGGCCACTTCTGGGTATGTTTCAAATCACCCCAGGCTGTCTTTTGCACAGTCCCTGAAGATGCTGCTCCCTGGCATGGCCGGGGAGAAGTCAAGGGGGCAGAGCAGTGCAGGCCCTGATGTCTCCTGCACTCGCTCCTGCTGCACTTGTTGCTTTTTTGGCTTCCCCTGCAGCCCCAGCACCTAGGAACAGCTGCTCTGTTGGCTCAGCCCGTGAGAGCCTTGTAAAGAAAGCTGAAAGAAAGCTCTCCGACATCGTTTGGCACCGGTCTCTGCCCATGCTGACTCAAGTATGAAAGGTTGTGCTTAGGTCTGCACATAAATCACACCCCAGGCTGCTGAGCTGCGGTATCTTGGAATGAGGAGGCTTTGCACAGCACAAAATAACAGCGCTAGGTTGAGGGTTGAAATCTTGGGTTTCAAATGAGGGAATTAAGCCAGGAAAAACTATACACATACCTGATCGTATAAAGCCGTCTGATGATCACAGCCTTTTTCTCTGCTTTAAAAAGAAGTAGTTCTTATGACTCCAGGTGGTTGGGGTTTTTTTCTTTCCTTTTTTTTTTGCATTTCATCACAAGAACAATCTTTGAAAATCGTAAACACCATCACAATGCTACATATGTGCACAAAAGTCTTAATGATCCCCTTACCATGTAAAGCATGTTGCTGGCTGGTGGATTCACTCCAGACCGGAATCTGTTATGGGCTTGCACACATTCCTCAATAAACCTTGGATCTCCAACATCAGGCAATGCTGGTTGTTCATACGAGTCAGAGGAACGACAGAAGTGCAGTAAAGCCAGCACACAGGCAGAAAATCTGCGTGTCATGATTCTCAGCCTCTGGTCTTGCAGCTTTAAGGGCAGAGTGTTTCAGCTGTACGAGGTGGTTTCAGCTGCACCAGCAGCGTTTTGCTTGGAAGGCTTGTGGGTTGGACTTATCTTAGCCATGGTAATTGAATGTGGTGTTGGTCACAGGAAATGAGTAATATTTCAGGAGCGTTGCTATGAGAATAAGGAAACGAAGCTACAAGTTCACATCAGAGCTGTAGCAGCTTTGTCTCTCTTGTTCTTCCTTGTTTAATTGTGGTGGGTAAGCTGCTTCTTTCCTCTAATTTAGACTTTTTTGCTTTAGTTTTGTTGACTCCCATCATCCCATCCATAGCAATCAGTATGGATTGCAGTAAAGTTTTGGATAAATTTTCTGCTTTTTGTGAAAATAGCATTGCTGTTAAGGCTGTTGTTCTGAGCCAAAATGCTGTGATAAATAGTTGAATATGAACCATTACTTTTACTACAGTCTGAAAAGTCACTTTGGTTGTACATCGAATTATTGGAGGGGTACGTTTGGCCGAGAGCTGCAATTTAAACATGCTACAGTTATTGATGAGTTTCTCCTGTGATCTCACAGAATCACAGAATCACAGAACG